TTTTTCTCACTTTTGAGCCACAATTTCTGATTTTTCATACCACCATTATGTTGTGCTCATCTGGGAGGCCACCAATATGGGTAGGCCGACCAGTTTTTCTTCCTGACCCTTTTGAACCTTGCTAGAAAGCTGGTTTTTCTCTCTCCTGGGTCACATTTTCTGGTCTCCCACCATACAGCTGTATTCTACTCATTTGGGAGGCCACCTTTCTGGTATGGCTGACCAGCATTTCACCTTGACCCTTTTGACCCCTGGTCGGCCGACCACCTTGGCTGGTCGGTCAGCCTTCTACTTTTTGGCCTTCCTGAGTACAATACAGCTGTGTCAGCTGTGTAGCACTTGACCCATTGTCCGACATTTTAAACCTTTTGTTGGTCTTTTTAAGTTGGTTTTGACCCTTTTGCTTAGCTTCTAAGAGAAACTTGACTCTTTTGTCAAGCTTTTTGAGGAAGCTTGACCCTTTTGGTCTGGCTTCCTCAAGAAGCTTGACCCTTCTTGGTTAAGCTTCTTTGAGAAGCTTTGACCCTTTTTTGAGTCTTCTCCAAGAAGTCTTAGCTCTTCTCCTCTATAAAACCAACACTCCCCCTCTATTTGCAAGGGTTAGAAAAAACCAGCCAAGGCATATACACTCCACCCTCCATAGCTCTCTTATCCAAGCTCAAATACCCCATTGTTCTTGGCCATTACACCACACCTCATAGCCTACGACCTCCACCATCCATTCAAGCACCTTGGAGCTGATTTTCAGAGGTTGAAGACTCACTATTTTGGTCCAGAAGCTGCTGGCCTTCTTCTCTTCAAGGGTAAGTCTCCATTTCCCTCATTTTGACATTGTTTTCCTCCATAGTTTAGCCCTATTTCCAAAAATTTTTGGACTTCGACGTAAACTAAAAAAGGTCTTTTTTTGAGCTCCTCTTCAAGTTTGTTCAAGGTTATTTTTTTCACTACAATAAAAGTAACCTATGGTAACGAAAACTAGTGAAGAAAATAAATTTCGTCACTAAATAAAAATAATTCGTGAGGAATTTATAAATTTTGTCACATATAATTAAAAAAATAAAAATGATAGGTGACGAAATTTATTTTCGTCAATAAATACTTCATTTTAAGGGAGGAAAAATTTAGTTTTGTCACCAAAAATTTTCCCGCTAATTTTTTTGGGTGGCGCCAAAATTTTGGGACTTTTGGTGAGAAAAAAATTTGTCACTAATTATAAAATTATTTGTTGGGACTTTTGGTGAGAAAAAAATTTGTCACTAATTATAAAATTATTTGTGAGGAATATATTTTCGTCACCAAAACGTTTTTAATATTTTTGATATCTTTTGGTGAGGAAATAATATTGTCACCAATTTTGGTGGGAAATTTTTGATATATTGAGCTGCAATAAAAAAAAAAGGGTATTAATTTTTTTACCCCTTTTTTGTTTATCATCTCTCTCTCTCTCTCTCTCTCTCTCTCTCTCTCTCTTAAAATAGGGTATTAATTTGTCTTACCTCTTGCTCCTCCATCACGCCGATCACCATCGTCGTTGCCTTTATTAGCCTTGCCGATTGCCGCCGCCACTGCCACTAGTAGCCTTATCGGTAACCACCACATCTTCTTCACTCGGTGATTTGGTACGTGATTTCTCTTTGCTCTTTTTCTGGTGTCTTTTTCTCTTATTCTTTGTTTTGGTATGATGACGAAAATTAGTGAAGAAAACAAATTTCGTTACTAAATAAGAATAATCGATGAGGAATTATAAATTTTGTCACGTATAATAGAAAAATAAAAATAATAGGTGACAAAATTTATTTCCGTCAATAAATACTTACTTTTATGTGAGAAAAAAATTACGTTTCATCATCTAAGTTTTTCCCACTAATTTTTTTTTATGGCACCAAAATTTTGAAACTTTTGGTGAGGATTTATTTTTTCACCAATTATAAAATTTGTCACTAATTATAAAATTATTTGTGAAAAATATATTTTCGTCACCAATAATTTTTAATAGTTTTGAGACGTTTTGGTGAGAAAATAATGTTATTACCAATTTTGGTGAGAAAATTTTGATGTATTGAGCGACAATGACCAAAAAAAAGGGTATTAATTTTTTTTTACCCCTTTTCTGTTTATCATCTCTCTCTCTCAAAATAGGTGCTACTACAAAACAGTTAAAGATCACACTTTGACAAATAAAAATATCTCACTTTTATTAGAAGTGTGATAAAAAAAAATTAAATTGATATTTTAATTACACTTAATTTGATTGAGTGTGATAATATTTATTTTTTATGTCACTTTTCAATTAAATGTGATTATATATATATATATATATATATATCTCACCTTCTAAATGTGATTATATAAAAAAAATTCACAACTTCTAAATAAGTGTGATGAATATATATTGTAAAAAATTAAATTCAAAAAATTCAATTAAATTTCTTTTCTTCTTCTCTCTTTTGTGATTCACGCTCTCTTTCTCTCTTTCTCTCTCTCTCTCTCTCTCTCTCTCTCTCAGAGAATGATAAACACCTCTTGGGCACAACCTTTGCATCTCCTCCTCTTCCCTGAATTCAGATCCTCTTCCCCAATAGAGACCCACTTCGCCATAGACGGTGCTTTTCATTTCTCTTACAACCCTTCGAAACTCATTCGCTTGGGAAAGACATGCAATTTTGGTACAGTTCTAAACCTAGAGTTTGTTTCTTTTTTTTTTCTTAAACCCTTCCCTTCTTAAATTAGGGCATTTGATTAAACTATTTGGATTTCAATTCAACGATTTCTGGTGGGGGGTTTTGAATTAGGGCGTTTGATTCAACGATTTTTGGGTGGGGGGTTTTGATTTTTTTTTTTATATATATTTTTTTATATATAAAATTCTTAGGTAGTGAGCTTTCCCCCCTGTTTCTCCTTTTTTTCTTATTTAAAAAGAAAAAAGAAAGAAAAATCTAGCACACACCATGCTTATGGATGTGAATCCAGAAACTCTAAGATTTGTCTTTTTTTTTTATATGAGTTTCAATAGTCTAAATGGGATTCAAGTTTTGAAATGGGTTTGAAATATACAAGTGTTCTCTAGCCTTGTCTAAATCAATTTTATGTTTTTGTTTTTGCAATTTTTTCATTATGTAATGAAATCTATAATATCTATGAAGTTCATGTCTTCTTCTTTGTAGTTTTGCACCTTAAATGCTTATTTATTTACTTCATTGAACTTCAATGTAATGGCTTTCATTTTCCTGCATATTTCCTACAACTACAAAGGGTTTTGCACCTTAAATGCTCATTTATTTACTGTGGTATATGATTTGTTTGTACTAATTGTCCATATGGTACGTAGATTCAATCATTTCACTTTTTATTGGATTGAAACTTTTGTCTAATCTTTTTATTTTGTTAGGATTTCCCCTCTTGTTTTTGACAGGAAACAAACAAGAATTATGCATGTCAAGTGTTTGAAGATATTTCTGAGAGATAACCCATCAACCCATCAAACCATCAACCCAATGCTATTGAAAAACTTATGGTATATTAACCTCTTATAAAATGACTATTCTATTTGTAATAGAGCATAAAAGTTTTTAAGAATTCAAATCAGATATTGTAAAGGGAAGGGAGTGTCGTATATCAATGTTGTGCAATTGAACCTATAATAGATTTTTTTTTATATATTTTAATACTGCCTCACCTATAATAGATTTTAATTAATTTATTTATTTTTGGTGTAGGAACATTTCTTTTCTCCTTGAGTAGGGGTGGTAGTGATTTGACAACCACAACCATTGGCAAAGCTCTGGGGTTGCGAGAAATTCAGGTCAATGCTTACCCTAAATACATTTATGTCAAAAGTTGTTCATATATCTGCATATGTATACATGGATATGGGATAACATTGTAGATAACATACTATGGAATAGTGTGAAACAGTGCATTCTTATGAGCTCCAGTTGTATGAAAATTTAATTCAGGTTCTATAATTTGTAATTGCACGACTTCCATACAAGTTTCTAGACAAATAAGAACATGTTTTTCAATCCATTACTGGTGTGGAAGGATGTTGATAGTGTTTTGACATGTGATCCTAACATATATGCACTCGCAGAACCTGTGCCATATCTAACATTTGAGGACCCGGCAGAGCTTGTTTATTTTGGTGCTCAGGTATCATTTTAGGGAAATTCTACTATACACACCTCCTACCATATGCACCCCTAAGTTATTTCATTTTCTTCTTTAGTTATGACCAATTTTCTTATTTAGTTATGACCGTATTTTAGTTATAATTCATGAGATCTTTGGTTATGCGTCATGTGTTGTTTGGTTATAGCCTCTCTTTTTTTTTTAGTTATGACTCTGAAAGTATAAAGTTATGTCATTTTCTTTTTTAGTTATGAGGTGCATACGGTACACCCCAATCTAGAAACAAACACTGCTAGACAAAACAAATGGAGGTAGACTATGAATTTTCCATAAGCCCCATCTAGAAGGATGATGGACAAAAACAAATCAAAGGCTTCCATAACCTGCGAACCAAGAGCCCCAAAACTAAATTGAACTATACGAATCATACTGAATCTCAATTGAACCATACGATTCACTTAATTTAAGATTCAACAGAACAAATAGAATCTTTTCAGTTGAAACTTGTATCAAGTTGTGAATCGTAAGATTCTTATAACCATGATTGTTATATATACGTAGAAGCATTTAGATTTGTAATTTGTTTCACTCAATTTGAGGAGACGTTTGAGGAAATCAATGGTGATGAGGCATCCCCAAGTATTCCTTTGACATCAGGGTTTGATGGAAATTCAGCTACACCAATGGTAACTAAAGAAAGCAGAAATGACACTGAAATGCAGGGTCAAGAAGATCATAGACTATGCTCTAATATAAATGCCTCACAAGACTTTGTGAGTGGGATCATGAAGATTGTACCAGAAGTTGATGTGAGTCCTTGAATTTAACCAATTATCAGTTGTTTTGGTTATGAGGTACAAATTGCCAAGAAGCTTTTATTTGCACACCACACTTCTCAGTTCACACCTTTTTTTTTTCGTTCAGATATCATATTATTTATCAAACAAAAATAAATTGCTTGGATATCAACCAAACAAAAACCCAGTTCGGTTGTTGATATCTGAACGATTAATTTTTGTTCGGATGTTGATATCCAAACAATTGATTTTTGTTTGGTAGTTGATATATGACTACCGAATTGGTGTGAATTGAGAAAAAGGGTATTGTGCAAATAGAAGCTCCCAAATTGCCAATGGCAAGTCAAACTCAAAACTGATAACACTCTTAGAATAGCTTCATACCATCTGCCAAGAGCAACTATAACCAATGCTATTTAGAGAATAATTATTGCCTTGCGGCTTTACCAAAAACCAGTAGCCAGAGTTTTCCTATCAGTGGTGGTCCAAGTCCATGAACGGTCTGCAAATTTGCTTACCTTGGGTTAGCAAATCAAAATAGAGAGAGAACATCATGATTTTGATATATGTATATGTATATATTTTTTTGGTCTTTGTAAAGCGATGCAGATTACTGGCCCTTACCAGATGGCGATGTTAGCATTACAGACATGTGGACAGAGCATATCCTATACTCTTGAGCTTGTGTGCCTATGTGGGTTTTGAGATTGCGAGATCACATAAAGAGTTTTGTTGCAGATCTGTACCCAGTTACTTATGGGTGGTGTTTTCTATTATTGTTGGTGATCACAGGATATGCTGAAGTATCACATGAAGTAAAGCTGAAGGCTGGTCTGTTTGATGTGGGCTTGGAGGACATTAAGAGGGCCAGGCTACAAAAATGCAGCAGTTCTTTGAGTGGTCCTCGAAAAGGAAAGTTGGTGTTTTTAATTTATGTTAATTTTGTACCCAGCTTACCTCTATGCATATCTAATTTTGGATGTTGTATTGAGTGGATGATTATTACATCTAGTCTATTTTTGAAGCCTATCTCGGTGGGCTGTGTCTAGAGGTATTTTTCTGCTCCTTTTGTTGTATGCTGTAGCTATATGCTTTGCTGCCAGCTGCTGCTCTATCTATTCCTTACTGTTGTGGCCTTATGCTATTTGCTATGCTACATGGCTGCATATTACTGCATGGTTTTTCAAGTTATACTATAAAATGTACTAAATTATTGCTTAGCATAACAGTTAAAAGCATGATCTGTGGTTTTTATATTTTGTCTCATTATCTGTGATGTTCGTTCATGTGATTTTGATATTATCTATCATTTTTCTACAGTCTCATTTAAAGATATTCCTGTCACCTAGTTTTACTTGCCATAAATTTTGGAATTAAACAAAATTCTTAGTCTCATCATTTGCAGAATTCTGGTAGAGAAATAGTTCCTTGAGTTGTTTTCATTTTGTTGCTATATCATTTGCTTAGCTGAATGAGTTCAAACCTTCATGTTACAACTTTTCAATTGAAAATAAAAGCAAAACTTTGAAAGTTTATAGCTTTATGATTGCAGTTAAATCATTGCTAGCATGATGGGTCTCGGAGACATTAGAATTATAAAACATTCCAACTTTAATTGTATGTTTGACACATCTTCATTGATTCAACTCTCTCTGTAATTCCGGTGCTTTTCCGATGAGTTTACAATGATCTCTGGCTCTGATTTCGAGTATTTTTTGTTCTTTCTTTTCTTGTTGGTGCAGTGGATCCTGAAACAGCGCTTTACACGGAGCCATGGCACGCTTGTGCTGGTCCGCTCGTGACAGTGCCTCGTGAAGGCGAGCGCATGTTCTATTTTCCTCAAGGACATATTGAGCAGGTTAGTTTCCAACTCTAGGCAATGAATTTATTATCTGTGAAGTGTTTTGAGATTTGATAAATATCTCATAAACCTGAGTTAGTTGTGTGCAAATCTCAGGCGATGAATTTGATTTTCAACCCTGGAATTTGAAATTCGTTGATTTCGAAGAGTTAAAAAACTTCGACTTGAACCAGCATTTGGCAGGACATGATCCGCGTGAGACTTCGAGTGGTCCAGATTCATATCCAAACAGGTCCACAGGACACAGGAACAGTCGCCTTAGCAGAAAAAGAAAAAGGTAATCTACATCTCACGTTTGAGCTTAAACAAGGAAATGGCAGTATGAACTCTCTCAACCTCTCAATCTCATTCTCTATCTCTCTTTGTCTCTCTCAATCTTGCTTTCTCTCTTTGTTTGTCAATCTCCTGCTCTCTCTTTATGGTTCTTTTGAAATCTCTATTTTTCATTCATTGTCACTCAGATCGCCCCTTGGATTGTCCAAAATGATCTCTCTAGGGCAACACAAAATCAACATTTTTAGGTATTTCCTTTGATTAATCTCTGGCATGTTTTTTTTTTTTTTTCCTCTGTCTCTATATATTCTTTGTATTTTGCAGTAATTTATGCATATCTATTTATTGAAATTGAAATTATTAATTTTTTGTGCATAATGGAGTTTGATCCATTGGTGATTTAAGTACGATTCTGTGTTTTCTACACTAATGTGTTACAAATACTACTCATACTTTAATTTAATTTTGTTCAATTTTAATGGAATAAGAAATTCTTAGGCTACTTAAGATCGTTCTGGTAGATGCTTTGTTCATATATATATATATATATTTTGCTGGGAATTTGGAGCGACATTATTTGGATTTTTTTTTTTAAATTTAATGCAGCTTTGAAATATCTAGAAATTGGAGCAACATTATTTGGATCGTCGTTGCCTTGCTGCTGCTTGTTTCCTCAATGCAACTTTGAAAGATCTAGAAATTGGGTACTTTGTGTTATGATCTATTCCCCATCATAATGTGTATTGATCAGGTGCAAGCTTGGATTTGAAGAACATATATCTCCATGGTGAGTTTTTTTGTACATCTCATATTTCATATAGGAATGAAAAATAACAATAATGATTTGATTTGAAAGATCTGAACTGCCATTGGATTCTAGTGAGTGATCCATGACACCATGTTCTTCATTTTCCATCTCTTTTTCTGTGTTTTCACCCCTGTCAACTATCTTAACATCCTCATACACCTGAATGGCTTATCACAGTGTATTTTAATAAGCAATCATATTTAGAAGTAGAAAAAAACTTAATGACACCAGATAAAAGTTATTTAAAAATTGATATAGGGTGAGTCTTTTTCTAGTGTTTTGTGGCCATTCTTGCCATAAGTGCTAATGAGTCAGTGAGCATTCTTGTAAAGATAACATAACTTAGATAGGTCATTGACTTAATCTGGTCGACTAACAGATGGGTGTGGGCTGCAGGTTTGGATACAGTATTATTTGGGTAAAATACAAGCCTAATTCCATTTATCTAGTTGCTTATAATATCAATCAATCTTCTCAATATGAAATTGTGCAGTCCCAAATGAGTTTTAAAGTCTAAAATGGTGGAAAATAAATAGTTTTTGTTCTGGCTTTTAATACGAAGACAGATCCTATAGAATAGATCTTGTTCAAGTAAGGTCGTACCTTGTACTTCCGATCTTATAAATACACCTCTTCTTTCTCATATTGTTTCGATGTGGGACTCACTGTCTGTGTCTCAGAGATTGATTTTTTAGATTTATATATTTTGTTATTAGTCTAGTTTTCTTCAATTGTTTCACATCTGCTTTCTATACTGAATTTGATACTAGGGAAGTTGTAATTGTAAGTGGATTTGGAATTTCTGTTTGGGTGCAAAGAAAATCACTTCAAAAGATCCTCACAATTTTCGTAGCATTGATATGCTCTTTTGACTCAGTAATTTTCTGATATGCTTTGTTGAGCTATTGTTTAGACTCGAAGAAGAATGACCTTATGTTTATGAACTCAGACAAGTTTTGTGACTTCCATATCAAAATTTGAGAGCGAAGAACCATGTTGGCAATCAAGACAGGGAAATTCTCTTCAATAAATTGTTATTTTCACATTCTTTGGGTTTTGGGATTTTAATATGAAGACGGATCCTATGTTTTAATATGAAATTGTGCAGTCCCAAATGTGTTTTAAAGTCCAAAATGTAATAAAATAACTTTTTCTAGTTTTTTAGTTGTAATAACTTTTACATATGACTCCAATTTTGAGACTCAAATGGAATGCCTGATTAAACAACAATGTTATACTGTTTGAATTCTTGTCATTGCTATTTTTAGAATGCTTAACGTTACACTTTTATGTTTCTTTTTTCTTTTTTGCTTTTTGTTTTTTTGCGACAGTAACAAAATGGTCGCCAAAAAACATGTTAGCATTTTTCTTTATTTTTTGCGACGGCAAAATAGCCGTCACCATAAATAGTTTCGGCAGTCGCGAATAATTTGCGACCGTTGCTTTGTCATCATAAAAAGTATTTGTCACCCCCACATTTGCGACCCCCATTTACCGTCGCATGGACGATGGCAAAAGGTCTTTTGTGACTATATTTTTATTATTTACGACGGCTTGTGGCGGTCGCAAAAGTGTTTTTTTTAGTAGTCTATACAATGTAATTGATAATATGTTAATGTTTTTCTTGTTTATTTATTTATTTTTTTTTTGCAGATTGGTTTTTGATGACATTTGGAAGCATACTTGCAAATCAAGATCAAGTGTTGAATTTTTTTTTTTTACTGAAGTGATACTTAGTTGTAGTTGCAAATCAAGATTGAGTGTTGACTTTTTTTGTGGACTCCACGTTAGTTCATTTTGGGATTTGCTTTGATGGTTTTTTTGTTATACGTAATGAATTATTATTAAAGTTGTTTGATGGATATATTTTGATTTATAATATAATTGTTTAGTGAATTGTTTTGTGGAGTGGTGTATAATAGCTAGTGGATTTCTTAGTACATTTAAAAGGCTATTGGGATATAAGCACAGATATTTGTGAAATAATAATTTAAATTGAAATATAAAATATGGAACAAGTTTAGTGACAAATTTGTTTCGTCATTTTAACTTGTTATTATGACAAAGTGATTATTCGTCAATAATAAATATTTTTTGTTAGAAAATTTATTACAAATTATATATGAAAGTTTTCATTGATTTTGTTATTTGGTGACTAAAAATTTCGTCACGTTTTGTGCACAAAACTTGCATTTTGTCGCGATATCTTGCGCACCTCATCGCACTGTTCTGTGCACAAAACTTGCATTTTGCATGCATTTTGTCGCGATATCTTGCGCACCTCATCGCACTGATTT